CGGAGAAATACCGGTGGTCACCACAGGGTCCTGGAGGCCCTCGGGAGGCACCGTCTCACCCAGACTCTGGCTGCCGCGGTCCTCCCCTTGTCCCTGCCAGCTCTCTCTGCGGGATGTGCACGCACGCCAAGCCCGCTGAATCCTGTGGATATAAGTGGACAAAACACGTATCAGTGACATCTGCATATCAGTAGGAAACTGAATTAGGGAGTTGCCATATGGGAGGCATAACTTTGGGCATCCTTGATTTTTAGACGTTTGCATAAACAATGTGTTAAAGCAATTCCAGGGTATAACTTTACTGGTTTAATTATCAGTAAAACGATAAGAAACTTTTAAATCAATATGGTATTTTGATTTAAAACATGATCACAAAAAAGTACAAAATGATGTCACCATGCACCATATCTAATTTCTCTCTCAACACTTCTTTTGAGACTTTCCTTTCCTAAATGTATTTCTTGGCTATTCTGAAACATATTCTCTCTGGATATGTTTTCTCAACTTTACTCCCCACCAAGTATCTCATCCCTGTTTTTCAACTTCCACAGATACCTCTCTCCGTCTCTCTCTTTAAACTTTATTTCATCCCTGTAGTCACCCCAGCATCAAGGTCCAGGATGGAGTGTTGGATCAATTACCCGATGGAGAAACACATTCACCTCCATTGGAGCAGAGAGACAGCTGAGCCAAATGGAACAAATTGAATTAAGCCATAACTCCTAGCTCCAAAACCAATACTCTCCCCCCCCCCCCCTTCTTCCTCAATTCCTATTTCTCCACTTTTATTCTCCCTTTGCTCCGTCTATCTGTTCCTGCATCCTATTCCTCTGCCGTTTCTGTGAGGTTATCCTGACATTTTTTACAATCCGTCTCACCTTTCTACACCCCAATCATGTTAACTCTATACAAAAACATTAGCTTTCTTTTCTCTATCCTCGTCTTCCAAGGAAGTGGAAGCCCGAGGCGAGAGCTGTCCCCTGCCTGTTAAACCTATAAAAGCGAGGGCCCTTGTTTAGGGAAAATGGTGCGAGATGGCAGCCTACGAGGATTCATGCACTCAGAAGTGCACTCTGACCCTGGCTCTGAAACTTAATCAGCGGGACGATTGAATTAAAGCCGCACATAAATTGATTCCTCCCACACAACAAATAAAATGCACTTTTAAGGTCAGAGGTAACATGGATGGCACTCTGTGTGAAATTGACTCAAAGTGTAGAACAGGTGATACTCACACAATAGCCTTGATTTCCAGATGCTTTTGTTGATCACGGCGACGAGGGCTATTGTCATCCTCTTCCTCACTCCTACGAGGACGGCTTCTATGACAATGACAAGATAGATAAACACAAACATGAGGTCATAAACAACAAAAACAGCACACAGTTTTAAGCAAAAAGAAAATGTTGTTTATATTTCAAAGGATATTGAAAGTAATGGCATAATAAGCTCTTGGTAGAGAAAGAGGACGTCACGGTAGAGTTCATGCTCAATAGTGGGCCTTGTTATGGAAGAATAAGTGTCTATGATCAAGAGCTTTACATCAGAGTATACAACCCTTGTTGTAGATTGAGTGATGTCCATAACATATGAGTACTTATGCATGGAACAGTAGAGACACTTTTGTGTAATGTCTTACCTCTCCACCTTGGGAACTGCTTGCCCTCCACTGTGATTGCAGAAACGATGATACCTCTTCACTTCGTCCTGAAAAACATCAATATGCAACAAGGCTTTAATTCACTCTGTCAAGGTTCAAGCTCAGAGACCTCGGGCTCAACAGCGCCCTCTGTGACTGGATCCTGAACTTCCTGACGGGCAGACCCCAGGCAGTGCGGGTGGGAAACATCACATCCTCCACCCAAAACTGCAGAGAACATCACCAGGACGGAGCTGCCATCCATGGAGGACCTTTACTCCCAGCGCCTCAGGAAAAAATCCCTCCGGATTATAAAAGACCCCCATCACCCCAGCCACAAACTGTTCTGTCTGCTGCCGTCTGGCAGGCGTTACCGCAGCATCCGGACTAAAACCACCAGACTCAGGTACAGTTTCATCGCACAGGCAATAAGACTGCTAAACAACTGAACTGTTGAAACAACATCCCTAATATTCATCTGGCTGCTACTTAAAAATGATTTTAAAATGATTTATCTATTTACCTATTTATCATATTCCAATAACTTGCATATAGACTCTTATTGCACTATTTCACTTTTTTTAAACTATTTTTCTTTTTGTATTACTACTTGCACTATATTTTTTCTGTTTATCTGTGTTTTGTGTTGCTCTGTTGGAAAGCCTGTGACACAAGATTTTCATCGGCATAACTACACTGTAGCTATGCTCGTATGACTAAATAAAGAACCTTGGACCTTGTTATGACAAATAGATAAATAATGATAATAAATCAGAAGCATTTTGCGTATGTGTAATCGCTTCTCTTCCAAGGCGTACCGTACCGTCTGATTGGCATAGCTGAATGACTATGCCTACATGTAAGAAAACTGCTCTTTTTTCATGATATCTTTCTGTGTATAAACCTTAAGAGTGTAAGCATGTCTGGGTATATTTACATAGATATTAATAAAGCATAAACACAGGATGTGGTAAGGAAAACAACAGGGTGTATGCTATTTCTGATGCATAACAGCATGCGTGTGCTCTGCAGGTGCCAACCAGCTATACTCCGGCTGCAGGCCAGGGGGTGAGGCCGGTCTCAGGCAGCTCTGGGCCAACTGCCACAAAGCTCAATGGGACTGGACAGATGGATGTGCTCCCAAAGCAGCAAAGCAGTTCCCCTCCATCTCTAGTATTCACTCATCTTTACGTTAGCCAGCAGGGTAAAGCTGCAATTTGTCCATGTTTGTGTTTAAGTGCTTGTGTCAACATCAGGGGAGTAAGGATAAATTCAGCTCACAAATCAGTAAAATACAGGTACTAAATGACTACCAAAATGACTTAGGTATGTGTAATGAGCAAGGCCACCATTTACGTGATTAACCCACTGAGAATGATCACCTGACTCAAAGGTTTCCTTTGCACCATGCGTGTTTTAGTGTCTATAGCTTGTTGTTTTACACTTTACTCCTTTGGGTTAGATTCACTTTCATTCGCTTTCAAGGAAATTGTCAGACAAACCAAATAAACCCTCCCTGTGCAGTACCAAACAGCAGACAGACAAAGTAGGGACTCACTGGTAAACATTAGGGATGCCAGAAACTGACCATGATCAAAATCGAAAATCGGACAGCCCTGGCGAATATAAATCGATTATTCGACACCAATAATAAGGGTTTAAAATGCAACCGTATCAACAAGTGTTCTGCTGTATTAACTGCAAAATCCATCCAGATGCTCAAACTAAAATAAGAATTCAGACAAATAACAACGCTGCTGATTAACATCAGAATTGTTTTTGCCCGAATATGAATATTCTCAATAAGATAATAATCTTATCAATATTAATACCATTTAATGAATATTATAAATCATGATATAAGAAAGACCAATTGACTACTATTCACTTCTAATATGTAAAACATTTTTGGAGCTTTCAAAGATTGCAACACTTGATAAATCTTGTGTCTGTCATTCTTTTGCAGGTGATATCATTGTTTACTCATCTTTTCTACGGTATTGATCTATTGTGTGTTTACAACCAACTGTATGAGGTCCAGATAAATACACTTAAATTATATGAGAGCAATAGAAACACCCAGGGAGCAAAACAACTGCAGCTGATGACAGAAGAAAGGCATTACTGGCAGCCCATAGGGTACATGACTATCTATAACCCAGTGGCGTCGCCTGGCCTGGGCATTTGGGGAATTTCTGTAGCCCCGGACAATTCTCCCTCAATAATATAATACATTAACCGTGCTTTACCTGAACCTCATCCTGACACTAGAGAGGACGGCAGGATTGTAATTTCCCGTGTTCAGTGAATGCAACAGAGGCAAGCACCGGTGCCAGCAGGGACCGTGTTGTTAGCATAGCTAACTGCACTAACGGACAGGAGCTGTTTGTTCCACAAGAAGCTGGAGGAGAGTCCTCTCCTGATAGACTGAGAGACTCAGGTGAGCTAAAGGACTCTCTGAGTGTTAAGATAGTTCACTTTAGTCTAAGTTATCTCAGTGGGTCTCAAACGGTTTGGTCACTCACGAATTATGTAAAAGATTATTTCCAAAGCACACCTTCATATGATCATTATAGTTATAAAAGAAATAAGAGAATAAAGGAAAAACAGTTATGAAATACTATGACAGTAAAACAAGAATACAGTTTAAAAGGAGAGTGATTTATAAAATATCCATAAAGAAAAAGAAAATCTGTTTACAGTTCTGCTTCATATGGGTGTCGAGAGAGGTATCCATAGATCTCTTCATTTTGCTCTCAAAGTGCACCAGATTGATGCTTTTAACTTCAATATTTAAAAAAAAATCTTCCCGGGGGAGCATGCCCCCCAGACCCCCCTAGAGGAGGTGAGGACCCCCCTAGAGGATGTTAGGTCCGCTCCCCACTTGTAAATAGAAATAGCACTTTACCCCTGCTTACACCTATATGCCGTGAGCTGATTATCGAGCCTTCCTTGTAACAGTCGCGGGTGTACTGCGTATGTGCGTGTGGGGAGTGTTGCAGTAGAAAATTCCACTGTAGCTCCCGGTACCTTAATGGGAAACCCTACATGTTTGAGCACCCTCTATGAAACGTCAAGCTACCTCACAGCACCCCCAAAAGAAAATCTCTGGCGCTGCCACTGTGGGCTAAGCCCCGAATGTTTCCAGGTCCATGAAACGCCCCTGCTATAACCTAATCCATAATTGCATAAAAGTAGGGATATTAACAGATATCTATTTTGCTAGGCATGTAAACAGCTTAATGTTATTATTTTCAATATCAAAATAAGGGCAATCAATAGACTGAAAGGCTAGGGAAGGTGAAGGTAGACAGTAATAGGCATAATGCGACTGAAAAATGAGAGAAGGAAGGGAAACAGGAAGGGAGGGAGGAGAAAACAACAGCAAAAAGGCTGCTTCCCTCTAATTGATGAGTTATTAAGATCATCATTTCTCAGAGTCCTAGTTCTATCACAGAGATTGATGGCAGGCACAGAGGAATGTCTGCACTAAAACACACACACACACAGAGTTTTCCCTTGAGTGTGTTAGAGATGGTAAGCTCCCTGTGCCCTTCAGACTAGTGTGTCCACTCAGTGAGATAATTTCTCGGACACATCTAAGCAAATAAACAGAGACACACACCTGAGTGCACTGAGAGAACAAACACGCCTGCATGGACACAACATACCTACATACACGTTAACATGATAAAGAACACACAAGTCAATCTGATCTCAGAGGATTTGATTGTAGTGAGCGATGCGCGGATACATCTGCTTCAGACTATCGGCTGTTTGGCTGCTGCTCCACTGGCCGATCAGCCTGGGGAAATGTCCAATCGGGAGAAGAGCTGTGCCAGTGGAGATGCTCGTTAATTGTGATATCGGAAATCAATTTACATGCGCAGTGCGTGCAAGGAGTTATATGGAAGTCAACATTTACTCTTTCGCCTCAGTCCCCGAGTACAAAAAGAGCCCGCTGCGAGATGAAGGTGTTACTGCATCATGTCAGAATCAGGTTTATTACGAGGTAGGTTTACACGTACGAGGAATTTGACTTGGTGTCATGGTGCATAAAAACAAGAATTAAAAACACAGGAAGAGAACTTGAAAAATATTTAAAATAATAAAAAATATATAGTAAAATATAACAGTATTTACATAGCAATGGAATGAAATAGAGGAATAAAATATGGAATAAAAATCAGCTGTATTACAAAATAATGTTGTACATTGTGTGTGCATTAATGTAATGCATACAGTAGAGTCATGACATGATGACAGGATTGGAAATGCTATTTTCTTTTGGTGTTAGGGCTTTTTGGGGCTAAACGGGTCATTTCTACAGAGGGAAACAAGTGCATTTATGTCATTTTGGTCATCCTTTAAATCCTATTTGAGTAGAGAGGGAGCAGGAGACAGAGAAAAAGATACTAAGCGTGAAATGAGAAAGAATGAAATTGATAAACTTTTATTGACTAAGAGCTGCAGTGAGAAAGCAGTTTTATACTGATCAGATAACAGCGTTTACGAACCAATACATTCTCGCAATACCAGGCCGCTGCAGTAACAAAGCCATCAATACCAAGCTGGAGCAAGAGGTGTAGACTGACCTATGAAGCACTTATAAGAAATAGCAACTTCAACAAGGTTTAAATCATGAACACATATGGAGGTTCTATTCCCATTTTAAAGTATACACGGTTTATCAAATACAGATAGATCCACTTCTGTTAGAGCCATATACTCCCCTTAGAAAGACAGTTTAAAGCATACACACAAAAGCTGCACTTGTGGTTATTTTCACTATCAATTTTAAGGTTTTTCTTTTCATTAATGGTATCATCAAGAAGTTGTTTTTTCTGTGTGTATATGTACATATGTGTGCATATATATATATATGTATTTATTTATTTGACTATTTATCTATTTATTTACCTATTAAACAATTAAGTATACCTATATTATGAAGCAAATCATGTATAAATACAACGCCATATGCATACATCAAATGTAACTGACACTGTAATCCCCCTACCCCCCACCCTTCATGTTATGTCCTGTCCTACTTGTAATGTATGTGAGCCATGTCCTTGTCCGTGTGTTTTTGTCTTTTGAAAATGTTAAATAAAATATAAATGTTAAAAAAAAAAAGTTGTTTTTTTTAAATGGGAAAAATGTACATAGGTGACATCATTAAAATGCTTATTTTGTCCAACCAACAGCCCATAAATTAAATGTTTTAAATTCACAAAGATTAAAAATAGAAAAAGCATAAAATCATCACATTTGAGAAGCCGGAACAGGCTAATACTTGCCATTCTGCTTGATGAAGGATACATTGATATACTGTAAATATACAATATAAAAATGTGTTGATTCATTTTCTGCTGATTTCTGCGAACTGATTAATCAGTTCAGCTTGTAGCGAACAGAATACATACAATATACAAACTAGTGTTGAGCTGACGTTAGCACAGTGAAAAATGTTCAGCATTTAAAAGAGGATGGAAGGAGAGGAGAGCAAGAGGCTATCAATAAGTAGGAAGAGTAGGCCATATGTTAAAAATAAATTGGGACAGGAGAAGGAGAAGAGAAAGACATCCAGGGAAGTGTGAAGCTGGGTTGTGACGAGATGAAGAAGGTGTGAGAGTGAGAAAAAATACTGTATAGTCGATCAAAATGCAAAAAGGAGAGCTTGGGAATATTCCCCCAATAGAAAGCAGATTTGGTTAAAATAGGTTGAAGGTGTGAGTGAGAGCATGTTCACACACATATATGCCCATCATCGTTGAGGGAGATTCCTTCAGTGATCCAAGACTAAGCCCTCATTTAAACTAGCCTTCCCTGACAGGGTAATGTGATTGGATGGATATCACTACAAAGCAAACTGACAGGAGTGTATAAGGCTAAGCATCTTTGTGTATATGTTTTGGGGTTTTTGTGCATTTTCATAAAAGAAAAACATATTATTTTCTTCCTCTTGCATTAAACCAGAGCACACATGAACACACACTCACAAAAGGATAAATATTTCTTCATAAAATGATCGTGGCAGGCCAAGAGTTACCTATCCGTCAGTGTGCAGCCTCATCTCGCTCCAGCGCGGGTTATTACGACTCAATCGCAGAGAGTTTGAGTGAGCTGGCGCAAACAGCACTCAGCACAGCTATGTCCCACAGGGGGAGAGACGATAATGCACTTCTGAAATATGACACCCTTCCCTTGCACCACACTCCCACTATGTACATCCCTTTATATATTACAGTATACCGTATCTGTGTCTGGTTGGTGAACTGATGCTGCCCTGCACTTGTTTATGCTGGATTTTTGCTCCTGTGAAGCACACAATTCAATAAAATAAAAATATTTCTGCATGTTCTCTGCCTAAAGAACACCAAGGGGCTTCGGGTGTGATACTGATGAATGATTTGAAGATTCCAGCTGCTAGTGCTGTGTCAACAATGTTTCCTGTATTGTATATTTCATGCACAACCCCATTATACGCGACCCCCTGTGGCATGCAGTTTAAATAAGCTCTGTGTAACATGTTTAACAACAAGAGCTCATGGCCGTAAAATTCATCTGTCCCATTGATTATGAGGTAATAGCTGGATAGATTAATATCTTTCTCTGGGGGTTCACGCCTCTGCAATGAATCTGAATCAGTCACACAGACACAGCAAGTGGAGCAGCCTTCATATCCAATAACCTGCATTTCTGTCCTCACTCATAATTCACATGCCAATTACTGGTTAGTCCTACATGAAGCTTCTTCATTTCCTCCCTTGCAGTCCTATATGAACCTACTCTGACATGGCGTCTCACAGAGTGAAGTTGGATTCATTTGGAAAAGTCATTTTTTGAGAGCAATAATAAAATACAACTGTCAAGTGGTGCAGTGGTACAAATCTGAAGTCAAAATTAGAGAACATGCAATGAACAAGACTGTGTGTGCGTGTGCGTGTGCGTGTGCGTGTGCGTGTGCGTGTGCGCGTGTGTGTGTGTGTGTGTGTGTGTGCGCATGTGTGTGTGTGTGTGTGTGTGTGTTTTGGAGGGTTGCACCACCATAATATATTGCTGTGAGTCAGGTGCTGTGATGGAACAGTGCTTTCAGAGCTCACGCGCTCAATATCCCCTGCCGCCGATAATGCGCAACACTACATCACTGGCATTAAATATTCAGAAGCTCAGAACAACCAGGTGAACTTGTGCACCTAACACTCACTCAAGCACACACAGGAAACATCATATACTTCTTTTAAATATGATAAGCAAACTAATTTAAATTAGGCAGTCAATTACAACAACCACTGTTCACAAGCCAACTGTTAAAGTTTTAAAACATGCAAAATACCCCTCTCTCCACACACACCTATTTTGAGTGTTATTTATTAGCCAGAAACGAGACAACACACAATGAAAAAAGTTAAAGATGTTTTTTTTGGTATAGATATCGTGATATGATCGTGATTATTAGTCGCATAGAGAGAACAGTTATATGTAGCTGGAGTTCCAATATGTAGTATTTGTGAAACCTTTTCAGATTCTGCCATGACACAAATCTTTAAGCCGCCTCAAGCCAACATGAAAAAGCAATTCCCCAAACTAAATTGAATTCAGTCAATTGTACCATTTGCATGGGTGAATAAAGGGAAGCTAAATCCAAAGCGGTGTACTGTAGGGTACACAGTTGCAGGGGGAGAGTTTTAGTTGTACAGTCCCTGTCCGTAGTATGATACTTCTCTGTTGTCTCTCCGGCAAGCAGAGAATAGTTGCCTAAATTATGTCAAATTCCCCCCAAAAATAATAGTATACATTCAATTTGTTTCTTCGGTCTATGGGCTCTTTTTCCCATTAGAGACTTTGCTACTGAGGATCAACTTATTGCTCCAAAAAAAGATCAGAAAGTGAATTACATCATTGCTGAAATGTTCCCTCACCAGAAGAGATCCCATCATCCATTAGCAATATCTTTCCAGGGATATACACTGTTCACGGTCATGCCATAATACTGTACTAGTCGGTTGCCCTCTGTCCTTGATGCCTCTTACCTGGTTATTAATGCACAGAGCAAGGTGTTTCCTCTCCCGAGCCACAGCCTGACTCCCGCTGCGCAGCCTCGCCTCTTCTCCCTGATACATGCTTCTGGAAGGACAGCGCTCAAATTAGGATACACAAACTCCCCAGATATAAAATACATGTTATAAACCCTCAGTGAACGATACACCTTCACTGTGTGCGGCTGCAGAGTACCGTCATGCAGAATTATATCACTCATCAGTGCATGTCGAATCAGCCGGTACTGGAGCTGCTCGTTAGTCCTAAATAAACATTGTTGCTTTACATGTATGACTAAGAACAGTCGGTGGATGTGCCACTAACCTGTACGTGCCGTTCCTCAGCATGACGAGCTCTCCCTCTCTCCGCGGTCAGACAGAGATGAAGTGAACACCTTGAGTCGGGAGCAGCCGGAGAGACACCAGACTTGGAATTTCTCTCAGCCAATGGGACGCTGAGCGTGCGCGCGTTTTCATACAGCGCCCACCGCGCGTGTGTAGATGGTGTCATTTAACTCGGCAATCGGCTCTAATCACAGCATTAGTTATTCTGCACGCCTGCTCTCTGGAGAAGGGCAATCTCATACTACAGTATCTACAGCCTATTATGTGCCAGTCTATTTGCTCATATCCTAGATATGGCTTTATAATGGTTTACATCACACAGGTGTGGGCTGAGACCAGGAGGGAAGCACGAGTTGAACAAACACATATATTTGGTTTCAATCTTTTTTTAACGAAGCTCACGTCATCCTTACAGAGCACGGAGGTGAGCTGCAGACCGATGAGGTGCAAGGAGAACAAAGTTAATTTACTCTTAAGTTAAGTGACTAGGCCACCAACTTATCAAACCACTTATTTGAATGGAGGACTTCCACATCTGTCCAGTTACCAACTACTACAAAAGGATCCTTCTACCAGTGTCCTACAGCCTCGTGTTTCTGCTGGGCTTGAGTTTGAACGGGGCCCTGTTGTGGTGCGTTTGCGGTCGGACGCGCCGCTGGACCAGCACGGTCATCTACATGACCAACCTCGCGGTGGCGGATCTCCTCTACGTGCTGGCCTTGCCCCCTCTCATCATCAGCAACGCAATGGGCGGCTTGTGGCCCTTCGGCAACATTATCTGTAAAAGCGTCAGGTTTTTCTTCTTCGTCAACCTCCACTGTAGTATGATGTTTCTCACGTGCGTCAGCGTGCACCGTTTCATTGGTGTGTGCTTCCCTATTGCTGGTGTGCGCTTCAGGACCAGCAAACTGGCCCTCTTTGCGTCAGGGTCGGTTTGGATCCTGGTCACTGCAGAGATTTTACCGACACTGATCTTTGCACACACGGGGGTCATCAACAACATGACTGTGTGCTTTGAAATGACCAGCCCCGAGCAATTTAAAGAGTACTTTCCCTATGGGATGTTTTTAGCCATAGTGGGGTTTCTGATCCCATTCCTCGTCGTCATCACCTGTTACTGCTCCATGATGACGGCGCTTTACTGCAGGGCCACGGACAGCATCTCTCACGCCAGGACTGCTCGTATGCGCAACAAGTCTCTTTCCACTCTCTTCGTTGTGTTTCTCATGTTTGTGGTGTGTTTTGTCCCTTATCACATTACTCGGACCGTTTACTTGTTTGTGAGGGTGTACATGCCCGCGGACTGTCATCTTCTGAACATAGTCATGATCTCCTATAAGGTGTGGAAGCCTGTGGTCAGCTTCAACTCCTGCGCAAATCCTCTCCTCTACTTTTTGGGCAGTGATCGGCAGCGTAGGAAGCTGCGGGCCTGGCTGTGGGTGAGGAGGAAAAGAGTGGTGCCCACCCTGTGTCTGGTGGATGCAGGCAGCACTTACAGGTCCGGAGGGTAGAGAGCATCCTTTAGAAGTCTCAAATATCCACAATTGACTTTCAACACTAGTCAGAGCGGTAATAACTCTGAAATTCTACCACTGTCTTAACTGTTTAATAATTAATTGTATAATTATTTAAATGTTATGTAGGCTATTTAATAATGTATTTTTGCAAACTTCAACAGGTCACACAAGGCACTGACTTGTGGGCATATTTATGTAGCCTACACTAACTTATTGCAACCTAAACCTGAAATAAAAGCAAAAGTAAGAGACGTATATCCTGCAATGGCGGTTCTGATAATAAATGATACTGTGTGGCCAGAGGTGACATTTAACATTTGAGGGAACTGGTGCCCTCTGTCGTTAGAAGAAGGCTTTGCCTCTAGACCAGACCATAGAACAGCAACTACAGGCAACATATAGAATTAGCTTTATTTTATGATACAAGAATTTAAAAAAATGTAGGTTGTGGTGTTTTATAAAAAGGCACAAGATAAGGTGGAGCAAATAGAAAATAACTGAACAATAAGGTATTTGGTGATACTAATGATAGAACAGATAACAGTCTACATTTGTAGAATAACAGTAACTTCTGTGGACGATAGGAACACCTTGAAGGCAAAAAGAGCATGAGTATTTTCTGTAAACGGGGTCACGTTGTAGGTACCATCTTTCTTAGTGCATACTTGTCTGGAGCCACAGAGCTACAGTGTTGAAGGAGCAGCTGAATGAAGGGCATCATTTCAGGACACTCCTGTGGGCAAGTGATGACAGATGGGAAGTGAAGTGGTCTGGGAGCTGAGAGGATGAGAGAAATTAAGTGATGGGAAAAAAGAGCACAGTTTATGTGAAATAATAACTTGTTTAATAATAAAGTGAAGCAGTAAAAACCAATTCTCCTAGTCTTCTTTGAAAAAAAAGCATTGCCAGTGTGACGTGAAACTGAATTAGGAAATAATTGGATTCCTGTATAAATTGAGTCAAAGCGTAAGTGTTGTGTCTGTTTGTGCATACCTGTGCACCCAGCCTTGAGAGGTACCGGTTGCGTAAGCCAAAAGCAGACATGGGTACCATTCCAGCCAGCTCACCTTCTAACACTTTACTGGATCGCCTTTTATTCCTGCAGGAATAATAATCTTGACATTCATCTCCAGCTTGAACTAACAAGCACTATTATTTTTGTATTACAGACAGGATTAATCAGCCACAGTCTGCTGCACAACGATAAAAAAAACACCTTATTACTATTGCGGTGCAGTGAACATAAACCTACTGCAGCAAAAAACAATTGTACAATTACAGCAAACTCAAATGCTTTCAAATAGTTGTGTTTAATTAACATTAACAATTGTGATTTGGTTCTACAAAAATACTTATTTTAGTGGCTTTCTGTATAATCTCACTGTCTTTCATTGTACAATGGATCTTGTGTAATTTCTTGTACACAGCTCAATAACAGTTGATACTTTCACACAAACATTTTCAGTTAACAACCACCATAGTGCAAATGAGTGATAGGTGAAGAGTGGCATGTTTCTGGTTGTACAGTATGACACTCTGGTCATTATAATGTGCAATCACAACATTTTAACTACATGCCGGCTTCTTGCACAGTTTGGGCTCTATAGGGTAACTTAACACCAGATTGAAAAACAGAGTTAGACTCAAGTCTAACCATCACTGGTAATCAACAGTGATGTCACAGTGCAAGGGAAGGCCCTATACAACACTTCTACATCACTGCAGCAAAGTGAGAAGTCAAACTATGCAAGAAAAAAATAACACAATATTTTTTGGGGTCGTTAAGTTACTCTTAATTATTAGATGACTTATTTGCCCAACTGAGGTAGTGATTGTTTATCCGCCACAGTTTTCGACCCTGATACCAACACAGCGATAAATCTCTTCCCACTTTACTGGAATGATGAGATTTAATCGGAGTGCATTTTGTCTCAACGTTCAGATGAAGCAAGCAAAGATTTGCGGGCAATTGCTTAATACCACTTAGTTTCCTGAGCTTGAAAATGTTGCAAAATTGTCTAAAAACATGTTTTAAAGGTCACAAGGATAAAAGCAATTTGTAAAAAGGTCAAATCTGGGGAATTATTATTACATGGGTATATGCACTTGAAAGTGAGCCTCTTTCTTTTAATTGTCTTTCAGATCATTATAGTGATATCATATTTGATGATGCAACAGAACATTTATCTTTATGAACTTTCCAAACCAGTGAAGAGCAGGTAAATTAATTTAGGAATAAAATAATTAAACATTGAAGATTTAAACAAGAGCTATGCTCTTTTAGACATTATAAACTATAAAGGGTCGATGACGCATAGGATTAGAATTAAGTATGAAAGTCCAGAAGGGAGGATTTTGGTTGGCAACTTTTGTGAATGCTGACAACTGATATGTACATAAACAAACTGCTGAGTTGCCTGAAATAAGGCGAGTAACAGGGTCGTTCTGAGAACAAGTTGTACAAAAAAACATATAAAAACATCCACAAAGTTACCATTATATACATTTAAAACAATTGAATGAATATAGAAATCCTATATTGGGTGATCAATTAGCATGTCATAAAATCTATTATATAAAAGGTACCAATCCACAGGATATGAGTCTTGTCTTTTGCTTAAAAGGGTTTGAAAAAACACTATCAAAGCATCTTGACTTTTTCCGTAAGTTTGACACACACCCACAAGTCAGTGGAGGATATGACATCAGTGTGAGAGGTCAGAGAGGAACTGTTGAGGCCAAACTGAGACGTGTCATTGGTCCTCCTGGTAGGGACATAATAAGCTATGTATAAAAGGTTGGTTTTGTTCAGACAGTCAGTTGTGATGGGAAGAGCCACAGCTGACAGCACTGGGCGGAGTCAGTAGTGCAGTCCCGCCCCGTGGCAGTTGATTGACAGCTCTGGGGTGGACAGTGCAGCCTGCTGGCTCTGAAGCCCAGGACTACGTGTTCCCTCATCATCATCATCATCATCATCATCATCTGGAAAATATCAGTCACAGAACGGACCAGAAAATATTATACTGCGTTTTCACAACAAGAAAATGTAAATAGATTAAACAGATAAATAAATGCATAGATAGAGAGAAAGAAAAAGAGATGGCGGTATAGGCAGACACAGATCTTATCTCTGGGACTTTTCACTGTAAAAACGGTTCCGATGGTGAAGTCAATAAAACTCTATTTTCTATCGTAATTTACTTGCCCTAAATAAAATAAAAATTAATGTGCGTTTAAATAAGTAACACTTAAGTAACAATGAGAACATGTTTTAAGAACTCATTAATTTATAAATTAATGTTCACATTTTCTGAACTTTCTTATAAATACGTTTTGGAAAACTTCATAAAAATGCTTTTGTCAACGCCACGGTCATGACACGCCCTCAAACGAGAATACCGCAGTGTGAGGCTTCCTGTTCCTCTTTACAGCGATTCTTCGGCAGCTGTACATGTGCTTGCTTCTGAACTACTTCAAATCATCGTAAAACAATTAAGCATACCACCTGAGTTATTAATTACTGCTTTTTAACTAGCAAGTGTTATTTACTTTTCTTGTATTCACTGTTTCGAACGGAACATCGACATGCCAGCGCCATTACTGCTGTTAAAGTTAGACTCAGCCCTGTCATGCTCATGTAGTCTATTTTTTTGCGCAAATGGTGTTGGGCAAAGTTTGCATCAAGTGCTTACCGACACAATTCTGTTAAAAGTGGTTAAGTTAAGAGTATGTATTAAGAATCAACTCCGCAAACTTTTCCCCTGTGCCGCTCCAAGCGTTGGCCGGGCACCGTCATGCGGTCACGGGGCTCAGAGGCTTGTGATGGGAATGATGGCTCTTTGAAGGGAGCCGGATCTTATGGCTCCGTTCCTTTCAAAGAGCCGTTCAAAAGAGCCGTTCAAAAGAGCCGTTCAAAAGAGCCGTTTTTTTTAAAGGGGGCGGGGTTACTAGGTTTATAATAATCACCAGGATAATGATTGACTGTATTGCCAGACCTAATGTCAATAATCTGCATTGTAAACATGACACAGGGTGGCGCCATATCCATGTCATTCATGTCAGTGAATGTACTACTTTGAATTTACCCTCTGTATGTGTTAAGTAAATAAAGTTGCCTTGCCTTGAATGAAATTCACGCAACTCTTAATATTAGAACACTCCGCTTTATCACTGCCTGGGTTTTGGTTGAAGTGCATCCAAATGCTGCTGCGTTTTCGCGTTTGGCTAATTTTCCATCCGAAAAACACGTCGTCTACCTGTCCTGTACCACTTGTTATGACTTCTCTCTCTCGCGTATTCCGTTAAGACCCACCCCATCTCACTCCTCGTGCTGAAACCTACCAATCAGAGTAGGGGCGGGTCTTCACAGAATACGTTTGGGGGACAAAATCAAGCTTTTTAAAAGGCGAGTGGATTTTGGCAGGCAGTGAGTGCGGACCAACGATCGAACGATAAAAAGAACGGCTCTCACCAAGTACGACTCGGTTCCCCTAGTTCGTACCAAAGAGCCGTTCAAAATAATCGGCTCGTTCGCGACCGACACATCACTAGGCTCTGGTGCCGAGCATGTTGTACGGTAAAATACCTCCGCAAAAACTATTCCCTACTACTTTATAACCCAGCGGTTATGTAAGAGTAAGTTACTAATGCGCGTATTTGATATTAATTCCTCTGTATGTATTTCACCGTTTGTTTTACTGTGAGCAATGAATTATCTTTCTACAATCTTGATGTGTACCCAATTTAAACTCATGGTCTGCAGTTACAGCATCGAGTTGTTATTATACAATATGAAGTGCAAACTATATTTTTCATGCTTATGCAATGCTATAGATGCAAATCCATGTTTGAATCTGCAGGAGAGTTAACGTTAGCTCTCAGTAGCCAGTGATAGAGGTGCCATTGACTTCAGTTAAGGTGCATTCAGGCGCAATTCAGTAAAAGTGTGTATTGGGCGAAGATGCATTTATAACGTCGGCAAGATGTGTTCAATGTAGTCCAGTAAAATGCAGTCTTTAGCGAGAAATATCAATAAATACTGTTGTATTAAGGAGATGTTTTACTACAATATAAAGTAGATATTAGACGGTATGCAAACGAGATAAAGGAGTGTATATTGAAGTAATTAGGATCCGCTGTGTAGAGAATCATGGAATTTTACTGGTATCTACCAATACCATCCTTAATAAATGCCATCCTTAAAAATTTATATAAATACAATACCGTTTTAAAAAGTGGACCTATCATGCTATATTTGAATAATATATTGTAGGGCCATACCTATATAAAACATGTCTGTGAAGTCTTTTTTTCAAAATACCAAACAGATCATGCATTTTAGCCATGCCTCATTTCGCTCTATTTGCTGTATTCCAGCCCTGTTTTTGCAAGGGCTGATTCTGTGGCAAATGAGCTGCAGCTGACCACAGCCCCCTGCAAAGGAGGGGGGTGAGGCACAAGCGTCATGTTACCATGCTGTTACCATGCTGTTACCATGCCACGGCAACCTCTCATTCCCCTGATAGGTGGAGAGTTGCCCATATAGGCGGAGCTCCTTGTTTCTGACGTCAGAGATATTTCAAATCTGTATCAGTCTGTATCAGATCCGTTGCAGCCCCGTTTTTAGAGATTTGGGTATGGAGGAAAAGAGAGAGGGTTGTGTTTTCTGACACTTGGTGAGTTCCCTGACACACCGGGGAGACATATTCATGTATAAAAGACGTGCAAAAGTGCATTTTGCATGATAGGTCCCCTTTAAATGATACTTATGTTTTAACAGTGGCGAACCGTGTCTATCACAACTGGACCTTCTGTAGACACACACACACCCTCCTGACCACTGAAATGCGTAGTGCATGGACCGAGAAGGACAAACAAATAAACGTAACACTGTAATATTACAGATCAACAACACAGATACGATTCTCATTTATTAATTTTACATACATTTTATTACATTTTATTTATATAATTAAATCGATTTTTTGTTTGTTTTATCTGAGTATTCCAGGGTATTCTCTGAATACCTTGAAGGCCCTGACGGTTCGCCACTGTGTTTTAATTATGTTTGATTCCATTAATTGAATTAAAGATGTTTTAATGAATTCTACTGAAATGATTGTTACATTTTCATTAGGGATGCTCCGATCGATCGGTCACCGATCGAGATCTGCCGATACTCACTCTCTACCGATCGATCGGTGCTCTCTAAACATGCCGATCGCGAGGGCCGATCGCATGACGTAAAATACATGACACTTTTCTCTGTACGCGGCAAAACAAGCTCGCCAAAATGGCTTCACCGGTCTGGCATTATTTTAAGGTGTCCGAAAAAGACAGTAAAATAGCGGTATGCAACGTGTGTGTGAAGCAGAAATCCTGCAGCTCCACCCGCTGTGACGGACCGGTGAGCGGAGCGAAACACACAAGAGTTAGACCTAACACACTTAGCTATTTTATCTACCTCTGGAACAAGTTAAACTAGTTATACATATGTTTATTCTTCACTGTCGGCCTCACACATTACTGGATCAGCGAGCTGCATGAGACGATACTGACGGGCTGTCAGGAGAGGGAGAGAGGGGGAGAGAGAGGGGGAGAGAGAGGGGGAGAGAGAGGAAAAGAGAGCGCTTGCTAATTTCTCCCGTGGGATTATCCAAAGTAAATGTAAACTTGAATAATATACATAATTTGAATGTAATAATTAAGTTGATTGTTGTTTGTGGAAGCTCCAGTGAATGAGCCCCATTAACTGAGTTTTAAACATCACTTTATATGGAAGATTTAAAGTGATGTTTAAATCTTCCATTTAGGCCCCGCCCACTCGATCGGATCGGCGATCGGTATCGGCAGATACTGATTCCGGCGATCGGCCCCAAAATTGGCGATCGGAGCATCCCTAATTTTCATCATGTAATTATTTTGTTCTTTTATTTGCCTCACCAGAAAACAGTCACACCTCCTCTTGAAGACATTTTGTCTCCTGCTATCGACTTCAGGTTCACATTAGGTAAGCCCTTGAGTGTGTCAGACTAAAGTTGTTGTTTCAGAGGTTAATTCAAGACGTGTTATGTTTACATTCTAATATAATGAGCATCAGGTAAACGTACCCATTTCTATTTTTTGAATCACAGATGGGATGGAGATGTAAACTGTGCAGCAGTAGTGTCACCACTCAGTGATATTTTAAAGGTCACCAATCATGCTATTTTTAGGCAAAAGCATAGGTCTCAGATATATAAAAAACATGTCTATGAAGTGTTTTGTTCAAAATACCAAACAGATCACCCATTCTAGCCATGCCTGATATCCCTCTATTTCACTTCCTGTTTCAAAAGTGCTAATTTGGGGTATAAAGCTTTAAAAAGAAAAGAAGAAGATAAAAAAGAGGGGCGGAGCTTATGCCTGCTCATGCGGGAGATTCCACCAGCAGTTACTGCCGTGATGAAACGCCATATCATGGATTATCAAGGATTATTTCTGAAACAGTATGGAGCTCAAAGGCCTTCTCTCTTGCCGGTTATACCACAAGGCGAGTTCTTTTTTATATCCTGCTTCTTCACACACATGCTCTCTCCAGTACAGGTTAGCTCTGAGTGTTAGCGATGCTAATGTAAACACCGACCATATTACGTCCAAAATAGTCGGGCATTGTTTCTGATAGTTTTATTTTCTGACGCTGCGTGAGTTCCCTGACACACCGGGGACACATATTTATGTATAAAAGACATCAAAAAGTGCATTTTGCATGATAGGTCCCCTTTAAAACATTATTGACTCCACCATGGAACATTTGGACAGAAACGTGCCTTGCCCTGCATTCATGTAAACTGGCCTGCTGCTCTCACTTATCAAGATAAAAGTTGAAATAATCGTCTGTTCTTATTTATTCTAGGACCCATGTGCCACTTTATATAAATCTCTGAGTATGAGGTGGGGTTAAAATAAGTAGTTGGACATTTTATGAACTATATCAATATCATGACTATGTGGTTCATTTTCTTGCAAACCAGCCTTTTTTTGATGGCTTAAACCCCTTGTAATGCATGTGAATAGCACCTCTATTACCGTCTGTTAACAGCTAACTGGCAGTACCCGTTATGATTTCAAGACAGATTTTATTTTTGTTGTTGAGAAAAACACATGGTGTGTCCTGATTTGTAATCAATTTAGTGTTTCGTTTGTATATACAGGGAACAGCAAAGGTCGAAGTGCAACAGAGGCTCGTGATGCACAGCATGAAGTTATACGTTGCCCACGAGCCAGATGCAGTTGGAATAACCATCAAGTAATAACCATGTGTCTCCATGTATGTTAATGTGTTGTGCTTTTAAACAAACTTGTTACTGTTTTATGAAAACGGTTTTGAAATAATCACATTTTAATAATATTTATTAACATGTCCATAACGTTCCCTTTTTTAAATCTATTTGTTTAATCTGCAATGTTTCAATGCTATCAAATATTTAAAGGGTTGGATTGAAATCAGGAAGAGTTTGTCGTATATAGGTTCCGGCAACTCAATTGTGTTTTATAATTTACTTTATTTATTCTTGGCTTATGTGGTTGTTCGCAGATTGTTATTTGCATTGGTTACACTTAATATCTTGGCTTTTAATTGTAGGCTCAACTCATCTTTTCACATGCAAAGAAAATCACATTAGTGAGTTTATCCAACTCCTATAATTGCTTGGAATCGCTTGACACATCTAAAAAGGTTTTAGCAAAGTAACACGTTCTTGAGTAGAGGAAAACTAAAAAAAGTACATTTCACCAACTCAAAAAATGCAAAAGTTGACTAAACTCTTAAAATTGCTTGGAATCGCTTGACAATTAATTTTTTTTTTTTACCAAAGCAACAGTTTTTACAGTGCATGCTACTTGTGAGAACTCAAAGTATAGTTGCACCAGGAGATCTCGTGTGGTTTGTTTTTATCTATCAAACATCAAGTAGTGCACGAGTGGTGTGCTGTGAAAGTGCGACAGTCAAAAACCATAACCTCAATTAATGTGCCCACTTGGTTATGCTTACGAACACGCATTTGCAACATCATGTTGCAGTCATCAAAGTCTTGTTTCAATAAGCACTTATACAAAAAGCGCATGAGTGTTTTTCCACCAAACAAGAAGGCAATTAAAGGCTTTAAGCAAAGCATAGTGATACAGCTAACATCGCTTTCATTCTGTTGTTTATTGTTTCTTTTTAATAGGTTAGGAAGAACCATAAATATGCAAGCTAAGACAAAACCATGTATGGAATTTAAAAAAATTATTTTGTCTGTGTTCACATAGATGAGTCAACATTGACACTGATAACTGACAAATTGTATCCTATTTTCAGAGAGGCCATAAATAGGTTTGCTGTAACAACCAAGAATGGCAACATTTCCATGATAACGTGACTGATCACATCTTTGAACTCCTGAACCTTGTAAAACTATTGAACCAAGGGGATGTGGATATGCAGTAAAAAAAAAAAGCATGATTCTACAACTTTGCATGTGAATCATGTGTTTGGAGTGTAAAATAAAGAACATTTCCATAAAAGCATCACTTGACTGTACCGATCACATTGAAAATCATACATAACCTGTTAAATAATATATTTTTTAGCTAACTGGAAATTCTAACTAGAAGCCAATTAGTACAGTGGCTATAGAGTGGTGCAGTGACGAGTCCTAAAACCCGGAAGTGAGTTAGCATTTTACCACTACTGGTTCCCTCGTCTCAGAGTCAATGGGATTTCTCCACGGCACGGATCACGTTTTGTTCTACGACATTAAATACATCAGCAGTGACCCCACTGGTGATTTTTGAAGAGTGTACGTGTCTGAAAATCGATGGTTGTTAACAAGTGGCTGAATAGGACTACAGAAGTTGTCGAGGACCTTGTACGTCATTACACCGAACACGTAAACACTCCCGCTAAGTTTGTCTGCCCCTGTTCTGCTTGAAAGCAAGTACCTGCGCTCTTGCAAACTGTTAAAACAAACGCTTCAACTTGTACAATTTTGAATCTGTAATTTTGAATATCGATCTTAAGTTGGCATGACGTTGAAGTCGTGCGACCCTGCTGTATTCGGCTGTAGTTCGTTTTAGCACAACGTTAGCATTTTGCTTCTGGCGATTAGATTTATGATTAGAAAATTATAAAAGTAGGGTAGACATGTGGATATTATCCGGCTGAACAAAACGTGCATTTATCAAACGGGTTCATTTTCTACAGACCTTATTTCGAGCTATTTTCCAAAATCCTATGGAGAAATCCCATTGCTTTTTTGTTGAGGGAACCCATGCGCAGCTTACTTCCGGGTAAATACGTCATCCCTGCACCACTCTATTACATATGTACCAAAATATGCCTCTGCCTTTTCTGAGATGCTTGTCTAATTGAAGGTAAGACGGCAGAAGCAGTACAGAAGTGTTAAGGGTCAAAACTACTCACTCTGCATCTGAAGTGGCTTCTTTCTGGAGTCTGGCTCTGCCTGCGGCTGACATGTTCAAATCTCCTCCTGGAGCAAGAGAGGGAGACGGTTAAATTAAGAGGTGAGTGGGGAGAGGGGTGTGCTGACGAGTAACAGGGTGAAGTGAGGAGATGTCATAGGATAAATGGAATATGATAGGTATATTTGGTGGAGAAAACTGAGACAGTACGGAGAGGGAGAGAGCAGAGAGGAGAAGTAAAGCAGTGATTTCAAAGCTCCAGTGTTCTCTTACCTTTAAGATAATCCACAAAGTACAGCGTCACCACTGCCATCAGTGAAACTGCAGGAAATAAGGGGGGAAATGTGGGAAGTCACTGACAATGTCACTCAAAAGTGTCTAAAAGGAGTCCACACACAAACAGAAAAGAACTGACCGCAGATGCAGACGCAGAAAAACACTTCTAAAAACAGGTATCCTCGGGTGTCTAGGATAGATCCTGCTGCCATAGCAACGAGAGCCAGTCCCAGGTTCTGGATGGACTGCATGCTGAGGGACGAAGGCAGAAGATCAACATCAGTTTGAATTAAAGTAACAACAATTATCAGTCATATTGGTTTGTTTCAACTGTGAAAATGTATGTGATTGGTCATAATATAGCCATTGCAGTTACATACAAGCCATAGGCTGTCCCCAGCTGATGCTCTGGTACCACAAAGGCCACCATGGGCCACAGTGCACAGGCCAGTAAGGAGTAGGAGAGACCCAGGAGGGACTGGGAAATAGAGGACACACAGCTGTGATTACTTTTAATAATACAGGGCTCTCCACAGAGAACCTGGCTATAATATACCGCCTAAAAGAGCTTGTATATTGTATAATAACATGGTATATGACAATATGCACTTTACAACCAGTTCTTGAAATATAGAAGTAGTGCAATAGAAATATCTGTTGATTCAGTTCTTAAGAAAATAGTTTTAAAATTAAATAAAAATACAATCTGTTTTAATTTATTTATACGCCAACTTCTATTATTTTTACCACCTCAGGCTGCAAGTTCACCTCACCATTAAACACATAATTTGTCTCCACAAAGAAAAATCAATCAAGAGTTTGCAAATTTAAGTAGGAACACATGTCAACAACTTTAAGTTTAAGAACTTGTATCCACACCCACTGTGACTCACATCTCTTAATCTAACAGGCGCAGCGAATGCACGATTACTGACAGTGTCATTCCTTCATACAACTAACCCGACCACTCTTTCTTAATGTAAAAAATCCTATGTTGTTGGGGTACAGGTACAACATTTTGCAAGGGGCCTTACCATGGCGATCCATGGGTTCCAGAAGGTAAAGGCCAGCATCATGTGAGCGGCGAGTGTGGCGATCACAGCAACCATTACCCAAATCACGTTTTTGCCTATCCTATCCACCATGAAGCCTAGAACTGGAGATGCAGGGGCTGAGATGATGTACACAATACTGGGAAAAATAGAGAAGGATATTCATTTTTTATGACTAGAACCAAGGCAAAATAAATCAGAATCAGTAGACTTATAGTGCATTGTTTGAAAAGGCTATTACACCTGATCCGAGTTACCTGTTGACGGCTCTGGCTTCAGCTGGTGAGAAGTTGAATTTTTCAATGAAGAACACCCTGTAAATAAAAATACAAGATGTTGGGCTCACAGTACGGAGAGCTGCTCGACCTTTATATTGATGTGACAACAAAAGGAGGAGAAATTGAGTTTACTTTTGCAGCAGGTAGGTCTCTGTCTTCTATTCATTGTTTTCTGCTCCATTTGCATAACAAATTTGCTTTGTAAGCACAAACACTCGGTAGAAAACCCATGTCAGTTGCTAAGTGATTTGAGAGTGCCTTTCAAAGAGGGAAATGTAGATTGTAATATCCTCAATTGGTTTCTTTCACCGGAAACCCATTTGTCAAACATTTCTGACTCCCGCTCCATCCATTTGTGGTTCGATGACAACACAGCATTGTGAGGTTGCAGTGTTAAAGCTGTGATCAGGCACTGTCCTGATTTCAGAGTTTCTCCATTGAATTCATGCCATGCCACTTAAACACAGTAGGCCTACTATTGAGGTGATTTACATTTGTATTTAACAAAGGACAAGGAATGTGAAAGATTTTTCTTCAAGCATTAAATTAAAAAACTACCGCTCCATAATTTTAGCGTACAATGCCACCGTTTTCAGAGTTAGGCGTTATTATAGTATTTCTCAATTGTGTGTGTAAAAGAAACTGATGAAATACTCACTGTCCCAGTCCAATAAAGGGAAAAATGGCGACATAGTAGCCAACGCAAATGATGAAGATGAGCCACAGGGTTAAGGGGAAGTCTTTCACGTCAGTCAACTTGATCACTTCGCCTAATATGCAAGATTAACACACATGCAACAGTTGGAAAGGCTTGTCTGATAAAGTATACAGTTAGTTCCAAGAGGAAAAATAACACACATTCATTGAACTGTTTTTACGAAGAAAGCCACACCACAGCAGAGAAAGTGCTGAAGCCAATGAACTTTCTGGCCAGAACGTCACTTTTAAGTAGATAACAGCAAAAACAAAACACTATTTCATTGTAAACACTGACTTTACTCAGTAAATATTGGACAGAGGAAGCCAAAGAGGAAAAACAAAAGATAAAAAAACACAATCTTGGAATAGATTACCTGTTTTGCCTTGTTCCTTGTTGAGGATCTTCTCTGCTCTTTTGTCAAGGAATCCCAACACCAAGGCACAGGTGAGTGAAAACAGGCAGGTCACAGCAGCTGAACATAGACAAATACAATTATAGACATGAATTCATATGGAGGAGTGACAAGAGAAATTAAAGCAATGTAAATTCTAAATTGTATGTTGGCGATTAGATTATCAAGGAATTTAAGTTATGGGGAAGGCTGATTGATTATTTTGTCCATGTGAATTAATCTCAAATTGTCAGTGGCAGTGGAGACAGATTATAAAATAAAACACAACTGCAAGGTGTGCAATAATAAAAGCACTTTAAGTAATGATAAAAAGTGACACTTCTTCTAACTCATGTGACTCATCTGTAACAGCCAGCCAGCAGCACTTTTAGTTCTCTAAACCACTTCTCTCTGTCTCTGCTGTGTGTGTTATCCGAGATCATTAGTTACAGAGAGAGGATCTAGTATCTTTAGCAGACAGGGATAAAGCGCTCGTAACAGGACTCTTCATGTTCAACACTTGCCAATTTCAAGCCTTGATCTTGAATGAGAAATGTACGTCTGGCAAAAGTGGAAATTCATGATAGTTACCGATCATGAGTGAAACGCCTAGTGCGGTGTGTCCAGGAGCGCCAACGAGGGCGACGACTCTGCTGTACACCCAGCCCATGATGTTCATGTTTACTGTGCTGCCCTTAAGACGAGTAGAGAGGAACATGAATGGACTATAGACGTACATTTACTATCAAAAACATGGATTTCTATAAAGTGGGTTCAGTGACCTTGGCTACAGTCAAAACAAATATGTATATGTTATTTGAAAACAATTATCACATTGTGTTCCCTTACCACGCGTGCCATGCTGAGCTGAAGGCCAAACACTAGATTCAGCTCCCTTCCTTTAAACCAGTTCACTGCATAGGTGTTCTGGGCCACAGCCAGGGACTCTCCTCCAATACTGCCCAGGAAAGAAAACAGAGAGGTGGAGCGTGTAAGCCGAATGATAGTACATGACCAAGCTGATCCTAATATTTGTTTTCAGTGTTGAAGGGCTGTAATATTGGATATGTGGATATCTGGCTGCGGAAAAGTTGCCCTCATGCATAAGGATACAGAGAACTGGACACTGGTATATAAAAGATGTTGCAAAAATAATTTGCCCACCCAAATACAAAACGTCCAGCTTCCATGAGCCAGAAGCGATTCAGCAAAGCTCCAGTAGCAAATATTACCTGCAAAGTTGAAAAGTTAAAAAACAACATAAGAAATTAATATCTGTTGATTCATATTTAGATATATCATTTTAAAAAACCACATCATTTTAGGAACATATATTCTGTATTTCATGGAATAACTATTACATTTAGATAGCAAAGTAAACTTACCTGTCCAACACAGACAAATATGGAAAAGATGATGGTTCCCAGCCTGTAAAAAAGCAACAAAAAAAGATTGAAAAGCAAAAAGGCTACGCAACTCTTTCGCTTTCAATTTTGGTGACATACTGGACTTATAAATAGTACAATGATATAAGGTGTCAGTCTTTGTACCTGATGCCAAAAACCCTATCGAGCAGGAACCCCCCGAAGAAGCAGAGAACCACATTGGGCCAGGAGTACCAGGCATACAGCTGCATGAACTTTGCAGTGTTCAGATCCAGATCCTAGCACAGTCAGGAAGGTTAAATCAGATTATTGTCCTCATATCAACTGTTTTGGTTTAAACATTAAAGTCTAGGTGTAAATACAGGTGTGTGGACAAATAAAACAATCTAATATCAGCATTCAGGAGTAGGATTAATGTTCATAAATGTTCCATTAAGGATATAACATGGTGTAAAACTCTGAGCGTGAATTACCTGGATGACTTGAGTTTGAAGTGCAGCTGGGTTATCATAACAGAAGTAGCTTCCTGGAACGAATTAACTACATTAATTTACTGTACACACAATGACACCGCATTTAATGAACGTCACATGAGCAACAAAACAAAGCTTTATTTTTTCCTGAATGTTGCTCATTAAACTCAGTCACAAAGTAACAATTACGGGTGTTTAGGGAAGTGGGGCTTTTGAATGCTCACCAAATCCCAAGAAGCACATGAATACCAGGACCACCACTCGGTGCAGGAGGTGTCCGGGGTCGCAGATGGCCGGCAGGGGTCTGCCCGGTCCCACGGCCGCCTGTCTGTCCTCGGCCTCATCTCCCAACAGGCTCTGCTGCTCCTCATAATCCGCCATGTTCGTTTGTTTGGGATTTGCTGAGGGAAAAGTTGACTGCAGCAAGGAGGATGTAAATCGATCACATGACCTGGCACGAATGTCACGTGGCATTAGCCTTAAAGCCGCTTGTAGCTTGTAGAGCTAACCACACGCGCGTGCCTGCCAAGAAGCTCAAGCACCTCGCGGGAGCGCGCAGGGAGAGACTTGTTTAGATGTCAACACAAACTGTTTAAAGCGTCAGCGGCAGTGAGTGATGACCCTATGCGTACGGTTAGTACTATGCCAATCACATAAAAGGGTTTAAATGCATTACTGTACACATAGGAATACGCAATAGGACTGTATCCACATAAATAACAGAGTTTAAAGATACCTTGAGAAAGCATAAAATGCACTTTATCTCCTAATTTTGAGAAAAGGTTTACATTAAAAGGCTAATTGTGTTAGTTTATTTGTTTTATGTTTAATCTTGAAACAAACTTTTTTAACTATTCTTTTGAGACATAGAGAAACAGGCCTTTATTAGAGGCAGACATCAAATTGTAGGCTACTGATCTTAGACTTACACTAACCTTTAGCCTATTTCACTACCATATTTTAAAGCTAGATGATGATTATGATTTTTAAGCATATATAATGCTTCACCGAACACAGGAGGGGGCTTGGCTGTCTACAAATAAAGACGGCTAATTTTTTCTCCCCAAATATATTGAGGCTGAACCTGAATGTTCAGCTTGGGGGCCCCCTAGTGGCCGCGGAGGCTCTATGCATCTGCATAGTCCGCCTATAGGACGAAACGGCCCTGCCACCAACAACCAACAGACAAGTAGTTAGCCTTTTCCCCTTCTTTGTTGCACTGTTTGGGCAATGCAGTTTTGAGGCTGTATCTGGCAGCTTTTGGGAAATGATTTTGTCCTTAAGTGGCCAAAATTGATTATTGCATATTTGAAGGAAGACCTCAGAAAGGCTTATCTCTCTTCTTTGCCTTTACACATTTCAAAGTTAAGGTCACCTTTGTTTTTGCATGTTGTTGAGTTCTAGCTCTGTTTTAAAGTGGGGTTAAATGTACATTTGTGTGCCCATTGGCCATAATCTTTTAAAAAGTACTTCTCTAATTATCTATTTATTTTAGTGTTTGTTTGGGAACAGTGAGGTAAGCCTGTACATTTATTTCATTTTACTCAGTTGGAATTTGAACAATTGAACAATGTGTCAAAATGACATGTTTGACCTAAATCCTAAACCTAAGCTTTGATACTGTAAATTGAATATAAACCATTTATCATGAAATTCTTGACAAGAACCAGTTTATAAGCTTCTGATGATTGGCATCACTGACATGAAGACTTGACAGGTCACAGGTTGCTCTGACAGCAAGCTGTAACACATTGTTGCATTAAGAAACTGCAAGCCCCCACAACGACCTACCTCCTATTTATCTGGTTCTCTTCTGTCTCCAACGTGTGCCTCTGCTCCAGGCAACATTATCTGCAGGGTTTATTTAATTTCCATGAATTTCATTTAGAAATTCTCATAATTCACTACTGCAGGGTCATCTGTCAAAGGATTTAATCTGAGGGTGACAGTCTTTTTCCTGGCTGCAGTATAGCTCCTACCACGCTCATAAATTTCCTGCCCAAATATCAGCTTCTGTCAAAGCCGACAGAAGGTGGGAATGGAGGAGGATCATATTTCATTAATACATTGATCAGACCCACATGCAGACACAATTGTAAATCAGGTGCAAGGTTTCATTAATCCTGCAAGACCAGTCTGTGAATGTCCTGAAACCCATCTTTAGGGTGTTGCATTGCTGGAAAAAATCAATTTATTCCAGTTCTATTTACTCTTTGCTCCTCTTGCTCAGTGCAAAATTAAATGGAGCAGTGCCTGCAGAGTTTTTACAGATCAATATCAGTTAGTTTTTACAGATTAATATCGGTTAGTAGTTTCGGTTGTCCACACTAATAAAAAAGTGCCTCATATTTTGATCACCACCCATGGGAAATAAAAAAGACAAGTAATCATAATTATCTCAGGGTAAGCTACCACAAATAACCCACATCTAAACACAAATCAATAAGCATTCCTTTATTTTTTGATGTGATGGTAATTTATATACTAGCGTCAGAGTGTTGTGAAATATGATGAACATCTGTGTCAGCGCCCCTTGGGTAGAGGAACTAAGTTTAGATGGTTTTATCATTTTATGTTATTTGCTGCCTTTGTTGCGCAGCCACCTTAGTTTGCTGTGTATGAAGTGATCACTTTCCTAGTTCTTTGTCCTAGATTTAATTAGAACTGTAAATTCACCAGGTTTTAAACACCTAATCTTGAACCCCGTTAGTATAAACACCCCATGCAATTTTTCTTCATACAAAAATATTAATTTTATTATGTTATTATTATTATTCATATTGCACAGAAGTTATAGCTGTAAGCAGTGTCTATTGCAGTCCTTATTTTGTTATCATTTGGTCACTGTTTACATAGTGTGTGTCATTGGAGAATATGTGCTGTCAAGATGATTAGCCTTTTGCCAAAATGTCCGTGAAGGGAAAGTGCAGTTTACATGAGATAAGGGTACAGAAGGAAGTAGAAAATTACAGTGAACACAATTAAGGAAATGTTTCATATGACTTAGCAAACATGAGGAAGAAGTGCTTGGTTAGTATATCAAAAATAGCCTTGTTGGTGAGAACATTTCACCCGTCAGACCTCGTTTACCCTTTCCTGTTACAAAGCATTGAATATTCAACAGATTGTGATCACCTTGCATTCATTTAAAAAATGTTTGACAACTGTTGTCATCAAGATAAAATGCTATTTACATGTTGAAAAGCAATTCACACAGTGATCTTATCATTATTAATTTCCCATTGTACATTGTCCAGCCTGTTACTGTGTGACCCCATTATATGACAGTCTGTTACTTGGGGCCATTTGTGACATCTCCAGTTGAGTTGATGTTGCCGTTGGTGACTCGATGGCACCTTTGTTGAACGGCCAACGGCAGAGTGCGGCTGTCAGTCTTCTCCGAAACACTTTACACAGGAACACATAGATAAGCGGGTCTAAACACACATTGGTGGCCGACAGCCACAGGGTGGTTTCCTTTGCAATGTAGAGAGCATTCTGTGCCTTGCAATGATTCGCCATGCTGCCCGTTTGGGTGAGAGTGTAGGGGACACGGGCAAAGTGAAAGGGGGCAAAGCAGATGAAGAATACCCCCACCACCACATACACCTTTGCCTTGGTTCTGCGACTGGCTGCTTGAGATCTGCACTTTGAGGCTTTGTATGACTCATAAACCTTCTTGCTGATGAACGTGTAGCAAACCACCATCAATGCCAGCGTGCCCCAAAAAACCACCTGGAAGCAAACATAGACAAAACATTAAGCGCAGCAAAAGCACTTTTCACAGCTTTTCTCACGACTCATTTTGATGAGCTGTATATCAAAGGTCAGTTGAAATGTCAGCATACCAATTATGTAGTAAATAGTGCACTAAATTAAAATGTTATTATATAACAGCTGATTTGTTAAAGTTATAGTTCGACATTTGTGAAAAAAGGCTTATTTGCAACATTGGTGGAAGTTAGATGAGAAAAATATGTATATCATGTCAGTGCTGCAAATTATGAAGCTGCTTCTAGCTTAGGTTAGCACAGGGGTCTGCAACCTTTTTGACCAAAAGAGCCATTTTGCCCCCTTTTCCACCAATTGTTTTTGTCTGGAGCCGCAAAACATATTTGATAGCTTGATAGCTTATAAAGTTGTATATATTGTTACATCATAGACAAAAACTACAGTTTTTTTGCATTTATTATTTATTACATTATAGAAAACTGTTTAGGCCTACCTCTAATAATAAACAAAGAACTCTTAAAAGGAGAATAAAAAAAAATACACAGGCCTACTAATAAATCAACACAGCACTTGGGGGGTCAGTGTATGTTTTGGTCATTGGATTTTCTTTTCACAAATGGATATTCAAAAACAAAAAACGACTGGATATTTAATTTTCGTTTTAAAATTGAAAAACCAAAATTGAAATACAAGGCGTTTTTCTTTATCATGGTCAAAAAGGGATTTACTAAACTTAAAAAACGGATGATTTTCATTTTCTACTTCTCAAAACTAAAAATAAAATCACTAGAAAACAGAAACAAAAAACTACGGTTTTTTCATATTCTGCTACCGGAAGTTACCTTACAAAATAAGAGCGCAGATGAGGACGGTCAAGAAAATGAATGTTATTACGGGCTGTAAATATAATAGGCCTATGTCTAAAATGGACAACATTGTTAGGAGATTTCAACAATACAGCGATTCTGCACTGCGGTCAACTCAGCCGTCTCTGGGTGACCAGATGTCCCGCTTTGTGCGGTACTGCACAGCATTTTCACGACTTTTGGTGCGTCCCGCAAATTTGAGACGATGTCCCGCATATTTCATTTTGATTGGCTAAAACGCTTTTCTAAAATCTGATTCATGAATCAGATGCGGAGAAAGGCCGACTCGGTTCGCTGACGGCCGGCACCGCCCTTTATTATTATATGTTTTAAACGGCATCATGTAAGTTGCACTGACAGGCGACAGAGGTCCACAGTGTACCCCCCTCCGCTGACAGTTCACGAGCGTCCATAGTGTCTCTCCACCCCCCGTTGACAGTTCACGCGTCGACATTGCATTTACATGTCCCACATTGTCCCACAGAAACATGCTCTAGAGCAGAAGTGGCTTGATTTTGTTCTCAGCAGGGGACTTTGACAGAGGATTTCTCAAAAAGTACACAGTAAAATTACTTCAATGTATTGTTAGTAGTAGGCTGACTAATACAAAGTCAAACAGTATCAATTTCATTAAGAACTAATGGTAAAATTGTCTTTTTATCACTCATCAAAGATATAAACATGCATAATGCTAGGCTAGGCTACTATGGAGGGGACTTTGACAGAGGATTACTCAAAAAGTACACAGTAAAAGTACTTAATTTCATTTCTGGTAGCAGTCAAACTAGTACCGAGTCCGACAGTGTCAGTTTTATTAAGAACTTGTGGTAACAAACTCTAGACTGTCTGTGCCACAAGTGGGACAGAGCTCTGTC